TTAACTTAGAGTTACAAGCACAAAATTTAAGGACATGTAGTCCTGAACATAGAGTTCCAAGTTCAAAAAATAAGGACAGATAGTCCTTAACTTAGAGTTACAAGCACAGAATTTAAGGACATGTAGTCCTGGACTTAAAGAAGAGTTTGGGAATAAAAGAATAGAAGAAAGGGTAAAATTGTCTTTTCAAAATAATTTTAATGGAGTAGTGATTATTTTTGCTCAATATTAGAACTGGTGGATAAAAAATAAACACCACCTTACTTAGTTGCTATCGCACCCCACGATTGTCGCTAGCAGATGCCAAACACATGCCATAATAGAAAGTTGGTCAATAAAAAATTATTGCATCAGGTATCATGCTTACAAAAAAATATTTAGGTAAAAGAGAAAATAATATCAAATCAGATTTAAATTGTCAAAATAAAACAATAACTAATTCCAACTGTCAATTAAGAGACAACCTTCAACATTAACATGCTTGCTGAAGATACAGCAACACAAATAAACACATTTTCATATATATCGGTGCAAAAGTTTGTCCAATAAATACTTTAGTGTCCACTGAAAAATGCACTTCACATGTAATATAGCCATTCCACCAATCAAAATTATAATCCAAATGACACCAGCAACGAATAAAACTGTTCATATAATCCTCAAATCTTAGAGACAGCTAATCAAGGGCGGAGCCACAACGAAGATTGCGAGTTCGGCCGAATCCAATAGCTTTTGTTCAAACTTTATATTTACATTAAGAAATTCAATGAGTATGTACAAATTATTAATTTATAACTCAGTAACTTAGAACGATTATAATCCCGAACCCACAAGGTTCGGATCCTAGCTCCGCGTTTGAGTGAGCTAATGGGAGAATTGAATCATTCGGCTGTCTGTTACATTTGCGTAATCCATCTTTGTTTCTGACTTATTTTGAAAAGTATCGATCTAACGATCTTACCCCAAGGAGCAGGCATCGGGAGTCTTTTCTTCTAGGTTGCAGAATTACAATCATCTAGACTCATCATATAGATCTTCTATAAAATCGATCCAAATCACGAAAACGAATTATGGCCTAATTTGGTCTATCCCTAATCTGTTTAACATGTGAATATTAAGGAAACCAACCGTTTAACATCTGAAATATTTCACTTGTATTATTAAGGAGTAATAAACAAAAACCTGCAATCATCGTGTTGTGAATTTTAGATGTTTTGAGTCTAATATGGGTGATTACTTGTTTTGTTTTTTTCCCAGGTTGATAGAGCTATTCTTGAAAATCTGAAAATCAAGACATAATTTAGCTTAATTCTTTGTTTTAAGGGAGCTATATATATATAGAAATTGAAAATACAATTATGATAATTACTTTGTGTTAGCATAGGTAGAATTAACTGTCAGGGAATCAACTTATCAAAGTGAAAGCATCAACTCAAATGATGTTTCGAGTCGCTATTTTCTACTATATATGTTGTTATTGAGCTGATATTACTTTAAAGTTTTAACTAAGAAACTTAGTGCTTTTCAAATTGATGTATAACTTCCTCTTAGTTGATATCAAAGAGATGTTTATGTTGTACCTATAAGAGGTTTATATCATCATTTCCAAGAGGGAGAAGAGCTCTTTTGTTCCATAAGAGGGACAGACGTGCCATGAATGTCATCTCATAAATGTAGTCGGGTCAAATTTGTATTAAGGAATAAAAAAAAGGGAAAATTTCACATAAGAATAAGTGGAGTCCCTATTTTTCAATTTTATAGCCCATATTTTAATTTACAATCAACTAGTCTAAAAATAATAAGCTAATACTCAACATTCAACTCCAATAGGTTCTCGAAACTATTATTTAATTTTTAAAAAAGATTGATCAAACTTTTAAGTTGACTTCCGAATCAGTAAGTGTGACTCAAATATTAGTTCAACAAACTAAATCCACTTGGGTAGTGAAAATTAGATTTTTAACAAGCTAAACTATGTGGGTTTATATTCCAAATTTGATTTCGTGATAATTTTGGAGTGAGTATTATTTAGACTTGTTAGAAATAGTATAAGGAGGTTGTATATAAAATTTGAAGTCATTTAATGGAGATTTAGACTGGTTTTGAACAAGAATTGCAACTGAAAATCGTGGAAGAAGTTCGTTTACAGACGTTTGTATAAAGGTGTATAAAAGTGTATAATAGTATATAAGATGTGTTTATACACTCATATACAAGATTATACAAAAAACTGACTTCATCTTCTTCCTTGCGTCTTTTCTGAAATTTAACTCAAGTCTTGCTCAAATCTACTCCAAATCACTTCAAATTTAAATCTTGAACTTCTTTTAATATTTGCAATCAATTGGAACAACACCCAATCCAAACAACTAACAAACTCAAAAAATCATATTTTCGAAAGCAAAGCTTTGAATGGCCTTCAATGGTGGACTTCTACTTTATAATTTTCTTACATTGCAACCAGGTGACACAGGGGGAGAAGCAGAAAATACACGGCCTCTTGAAGCATATGTAGAAGATGGGAAAATAAGAGAGACTGAAAACAATGGTTGTGAGAATACATATTTAACTCCATAGCTTTTAGAAGCAATGGTTGTAAGAAGACAGATTTTGAATTTGCTAGTGCTTTCAAAATATGTACAATATAGGTTAGGTAGGGTAAAACTTAAAAACATGGGCCATTTTTTGTTATGGTGTGAAGTCATACATATTTTCTTGTAATTCTTGATTTCTTTCCTAAAAAAACTTCAGTTCTCTTTATCATAATAAGATTCTTTTCTCTTTGCGAATTGATAGTCCTGTGTGTGTTCTCTGTTGCTGTTGCGCATTTGCCTATGCATCCTTTAATCAACAACACTATATATGTCTTTGATCTTTTTCTCTATCTTCCTTGCAGTGTAGTAAAGAGAGTCTAGAGAAATATAGGAGGAGGAGGAACTACAAAGGAAAGCCTTAGCTACAAGTTGCTCACAATTTTTGACATACAGAGAGAATAAAGTTTCACCTGGCCTATATTGACTGTAACTCTGCCACGAATTGCTTAAACCATATAAGAGAGAGACCAACCACAGTATCAACGAAAGCAACGTCAACGGATTTCAAACATTAAACCACCAACAACTTTAAGTATTATTCCCTCCTCAAAGTATTTTCAGTTGCAATATATATATAATGTGTGATTGATTTTTATATAGAACATTCTAAATGCTCGAAGAGGTTTAAAATTAGTTCGAATAATAAATTTAGCCCGTAAAATGTAAGGCAAAAAGAAATTAGAAATTCAAGCAACTAATTTAGGATTTATATCCAACATCAAGGAGGAAAGTCATGAGCACTTGCTAAGAAAAGTGGCTAGCAGAACAAATATCATCTCAACTAACATACCTCAACTTGGATTTTGTCCGAAGATGGTAAAATGTAATAGTTGCTGGGAAATTTTAAACCTTTTCCAAGTAGAAATCCCTCTATTTTCGATATAACCATTCCGAACCGAGGAGTGTTTAGCCCGTTTCTGATTTCATATACATACACCATTTCTTGTTGCGAGTTGCTTCTGATCTTCTATGATCAAGTGCTCTTGACAATTGAGTTAACACGAGAATTAGGAACTTTTTTTAGGAAGAGATAGAGATAAGAAGGTATAACAAATATATGTACGGTTCTTTTGTTTAAATTTTGGTGTATTTGTAATTTCAATACTTTTTAATTTATTTAGATGAAAAAATATAATATTAACTTTATGTAAAGGAGATTTTATAGAAAAGAGCCGATAAAAAAGGGATGATTGAATATTTCTTTTCCGAAAAATCTGTGTATTACAACATCTATTTTAATTTTAGTAAGGTTTTCAAGTGGCTTGTTAAAAGATTGCCACTTGGCTTGTTAATAACATGTCACTTGACTAAATGACAAGCCATATATATATATATATATATATATATATAATTTTTAGATATGTGCTTCGCACGTGTATACCCAACATTAATAATTATTTAACTTATAGCAAATTAAAAAAATTATTACATAAACTGCATACATTATTCTAAAGTGGTTGAGTTTTAAAACTTATTTTATAGCATACAAAAAGTTAATTATTGTATATCATTTAATATCTTTAATTTCTTAACTTTCTTTCTTGAGTGATGTACGTAATTGGAAGTAATTTTAATTGTCTGTAATTTGTTCGTAAACACTATATGAAGAAAAGGAAAGGAAGATCCAATTTTCCGTGCTATGGAAGCTTTTGAAACTTCTCGCTTGAGATTTACATAAATATTTTAGAAATAATTTTAATTATTTTTAATTTCTTTCAGGACCAATCATCTATCGATTGGTAGAAAAACACCAACGCTCTAATTTTGTCATATTCACAGTAATAATACAACTCATAAAATTTAAAAATCAAAACTTTAATAGAAATGACAAGGGACAAAATTTAAAAATGGCTAAACGAAAATAATTGAACCGGCTAAAATATCATTTGATATGCCCTCTAAATACATGAATAACATCCTTGAAGGAAATGAAAATCATTTCATTGCCTTTATATAGTTCTCCTTCTCTTGGTTGGTGTTCTTTGGGCTTCCCTTGCATATGTTATTAATAATAAAATTAACCTACATTAATTTACTTAGTTGTAACACCTCATATTCTATAGATTGGTTAAATTAATTTGGTTATTGCGTTGGTCAATGAAGGAATAAGTTACAAGAGTTATATAGAAGATGAAATGTGAAATGTTTGATATGTAAATAATAATTAATAGTGAAAATTCCTTTTGTAACCGAAAAAATATATAAGTGCTATCACTTATGTAATAAAGGATTTAAAGGAGGAGATTTGAATAAAGAAGCAAATAATATATAAAGAAATTGTGAAAATATCAGCAAAAACTGTACAGTGATGGTTAGAACGTGTAAGGCAACACCCCTTATTATGATTATTTCTTTAGTGTTGTTTATTTTTTTTTTTACCAGGGTAATTAAGTACAAATTTATTTAATGGAAGGTAATTTCAATTTTAGGTTGAGGATAATTTGGTCATTCAATTTTTGAAGGATATTGTAGTAAATTAACTTCACATAAAAGTCATTATGCTTATAATAATATGATATGATATATGATGATATATAGATTGTTAACTAGAAACTTCTTATCGGATGAATGGAGTTAGAAAAAGTAAATAACATGTAAATGTCCAACGGAAAAAAAGAGAGAAGGTAGCTAGTATTAGGGGTGGGCATACTTTGGGCAAACACGAAATCCAAACCGAAATCCGAATTTTTTGGATATTTGGTTTGGATTTTCGGATTACGGATTGGATTTTGGATTTACTTTTTAAAATTTTTAAATTTCGGATTGGATATTGGATTTGGTACTTCGAATTTTTGGATATCCGAAAATCTGAAATTCTTATACTTTATATTTAGCACTTATCCATATGTCAATAGTAATAAGTTCAATATCCTAACCATTAGATATTATCATATATATTCAATATTAATTACTAAGTTATATTACGAGAATACTTTCTATTTGGACATGGTTTTACTATTTCTACTTCTTATATGTCGTATTAACGTCTCTATTGTATTTTTTATTTTTTTATATAATAATTTCATTACTTTAATATTTCATTTAGATGATTGCAGTGAGAATGAAGAACTTTTCAAGAAATTTAACATGAGTACTTCATTTGGATATTCATTTTTGTAAAAAGAAAAGACATCTTGACTTATAAGCTCCAAACCGATTAATCCAAAATCGAACTTAAAAATCCGATCCAACCCGAACTTATTTGGATTGGATTTGAATTGTCATTTTGTCAATCCGAAAACTGAAAATCAAAACCGAAATTTCATATGTAATCCGAACTGCCCGAACGCCCACCCTAGCTAGTATCTTAGGAAATAGGAATGGCAATATAAGGAAAGAAAGTAACTTAAGTCTCAAGCGCAACCCTCCCAAGAACTGTTAATTAGAAATTTCCTATTAGACCAAATTGAATATAATTACCTAAAGTAAAAGATTTAAAAACTTGTAAACGGAAAAGAGGAAAGTAAGTACATTATTCTTTAATTTCTTAATTTTCTTCTGTTTAAAAAAACTATTTCTAGAAATTTCCGATTGGATGAATGAAAGTAAGTTAAAATAAATAAAATGAAATTGAGAAAAAGTTAATTAAGGAAACTATATTTTCAGATTCTTCTATAAAACCGTGGAGTATTAAGTTAGTTAAAAAACTAAATAGGAATTATAAAAATTAGGAAAGAAAGTAACTTAAGTTCCAAGCGTTAACCTTCCGCAGAAGTCAAAACACTTTTTTCTCTCCTAAAAATTTGTTTCTTAATTTTCGTTGTTGGAATTAAACTGATACAGATATCTATAAATAGTCCATTACAGCATTCACATCAATAAGCTTCCGCCATTCGTTTAGGGTTTCTTTTCATAGTTCTTTGTCTTCTTACTTGAGAGAACGTATTGCGGCAATTACTGTTGTCTCATTCTTGTCTTTTCTCCGTAAGCAAGAAAAACAGACGACCATATATATATATATATATATATATATATATATATATANCCAACCACCATGGGAGATATTTGGAGCTAATTCTGATCATCCCGAAGAGAAGGTTCGCTATTTTTTTACTCGGTTGAAGAAACAGAAGAGCGAACATACAAGGGTTCGTCGAACTTGCGCCAACGGGACATGGAAAGGCCAAACCGGTATTTTTCCTATCAAGAATGGTAAGGGAACTGTGGTTGGGTTTAGAAGAAGTTTCAAGTTCCAAAGTAATACTAAAGAAAGAGAGAACAATAAAATTTGGCTGATGAAAGAATATTTCGTGGGGGATGATTTCTTTAGAGAAAACAACATTCCTAAAGAGGATATTGTAGTGTGCCGAATCAAGAAGAATACAAGATCAGAGAAAAATCATGGGGTAAATATGGAGGAACAAGATGTTGCCAACGTGATCGGAGCTATGTTGCATGGACCTGATGAAGATTACTGCGCAACAGTACAACCAGCAATAGTTTGTCAAGCAGCTGAACATCAAGTTATGGACGAGGCTCAGAAGATGAACGAACATAACAATAGCAGCTATATTAATGACTGCTCCAACTACCAAGAAGAGATCAATTGGGCTGATGATGTGCTCGTAGATATTGACGATTTTGTTGATATAATTTGCTGTTGATCTTCAGAATCTTGAATAATAAATGGTGGAACCAGAACGCAGGGAAGGAGAGAGCAGCAATCAGTTTACAACTTTATTGAATGAAGTTTACTCAATAGAACTTAGAGAAAAGTAGAGCTTCTAGGTAATTGTAGTGTCTCATCGGAACAAACTTCTTAAGAGAAGCTTGCCAGAAGATTTTACTTGTATTCATGTATATGTAGTATCACTTAATAATTTTGCCACGATTTTGCCTATATTATTCTTGTAGTGTATCTTGTTGGTTTCGCTGAAAACAGTTATCTTTTGTTGTTTCGATTGCGAGACTCAGTAGTAAAGATAGGAAACGTATCTGCGCTTTGAGTGAGAAAAATATATCTTACTTTCCCACATACACACGACACCATCTTACTACAGTTTTTTAAATTTTTTTTTGAACACCTAACAATTTGACCCCTGATAAGTACCATACAGTTCTTTCTACATCATTGCTCGTGATATCGCAATGAATCTCTATTAATTAACTTACATGTTGTAAAGGATTTCATCCATCAAGCTATATGCCCTCTGATTTAATTTACATGTACAATATCTGGATTTCTTGTCACGTTCTTACTGGAGTAGGCAAATTTTCTAGATCTAACAAGCATTCTAGTGTTGGTGTTGTGGAGGAACTGTTTGAGAGGGATCTGTGCTTGTCGAAAGGTACGATTTATACAGATTTATTTTAGTGCAATTCAACCAACACAATCAAACTTAAAATTGACATTGCATTATCATTTTGATACATAGGTGTTATGAGTGTGTACCATGTAAGCTTTTTTGACTATTGCATTTAGTACGTACGCTACATCTGTTGATCAAAGTTCCGAGGAAGTAGTTTTGTTTCTTTTCATTTGACCATGTGTTTGTAGAATTTCATGAGGACTTAGAGCACTTTTATTTTTTGTCTTCCTGCAGAAGTTTCGACTAATGGTTTCAGCTCATTTATGAAACTTATCTGCTGATTGGAATTATCTTTTATTTGTTCTAATCATGGTGTGTAAACATGTGAAGTTTGGTTGAGTAGCTGGTTCCAAATTGAACTTCCATGTAAAAGAAATTGATGCTGGTCTGCAAATGGCAAGAGGCTTCTATTTTGGAAGTATTGTTGTTGATTATAGGTAAGATGGCTTTGCTAGTTTATAGATGAAATTGTATGAAGAAGAAGAGAAATCAAGAAGAGTAGATGCAGAAAGAAGAGAGATCAGAGAGAAGACAGAATGAAGAAGAAGAAGAAGAAGAAGATTGAATCAGAAAGGAAATATTATTCTGTTATTCAGTATGTGTGTATACACGTATGTATATATAATACACTTGTCCAACTAACTTAACTACCTACTAGATTCCTATTGGTGGAGTATAATAAAATGACTAACCTACCCTTTAAAGACTTATGTAACACCTTTCTCAACACTCCCCTCAAGCTAGGAAGTGCAAAATATTAAAATTCTAGCTTGAACATACCTAGTATAATCTCACAAGTGGAGTTTGGAGAGGGTTGTATGTATGTAGTCTTTACCCTACCTTGTGCAGGTAGAAAAACTGTTTTTGATAGACTATCGGC